GCTCTCAGAACGGGTGTCAAACCAGAGGAGCCACAGCAGATTGCAACCGCACTTGCTCTTATGAGTTCTCTTCTAGTAGCACCTTACAAAAGAAATGAAAAGCGCTTATCCCAGGACACCACTTCACAACAGGAATCAGCAAGACGAAGGCTCCTCCACCGCTCAGTTTTCATTAAGAAAAGAGAGCAAAGGAGGGCGGTTGGACACTTACCTAAACTGGTTAGTGAACTAAAAAACAAAGTGAGCAGTCGGTCACTTCTGAACGGTGCGCCTCCGGACCGTCTTCTGGCCTTGCAGCCACGCAAAGAGCAATTTCAAGGAGCAGCAGCTGGAGAAGCCAAGACAGAGGAGAGTCCCGATCTCCCTGTGACACACGGTACAGCTGGCCCTGGCGTCACGCGGGGGGGGCGCGGGGTCAAACCGGACGCTGACACCTTGGTGGGAGGTGTTCGGTGCTGCTCCACCGACACACAAAACAACGTCCCTCCCCGAGTGCTGCTCTGACCACGGCCCTCGTTTTGCTAAACCTTTTGAAAAACAATAGCTTTATATACCCAGTATTTGGAACATTGAAAACACCAACAGATACGTGAGATTGAAAAGATGAAAGGAAGACACAACCGCACTGTGTTTACAATGCGTTTGGCTTTAAGAGTTTGTCTTTCCTTCCTTTCGAGTCTTAACTTGCGTGTCCCGAAACAAGTACATAAACTATAGGCATATGCAAAGAGATTTAGTCCAAATCCACGCAGAAGTCTCCTGGGCGGCAAGTTACACACTGTCAAGTCTCTGCAGTTTTCCCTCCCCCTATTTTTACCCTTCTGGTATCGCTGTCTGAAAATCCTGAGCATTTGTGCAGAAAGTAACTGTAGTTTCATCAGTGAATAATCTCTGCAGACACAATCTGTTCATTCCTGGAAGCTGGTGGTTTCAGGCTTATGGTGGTATAGGACCACTTATCTTCTTGGACCCTTAAGAAGATTTCTTCGGATAAAAACCATTTTTGGTGTGAGACTGTTCACCAGAGCCTTGAAATCTCACAGCCAAGAGATTTCAGGACAAGCTTCTCACAACAAGTCTCAGGGTACAAGTCTCCATTTGGCTCTTACAGAAACATGCCTATTTTATCTTGCATTTTCTTTAAAACGTCCCCACTCCAAATCTAAAGTCTAAATCATCTCCCAGAACTTCTTTGACAGGCTCATGAGTTCGCTGAGAGTAGTTTCTAGACCTAAGAGATTTCACAAAAAGATTTCGCACAAACGATGGGATTACACAGCAGCTCAACGTGTTAAGCAGTACTGGAAATAATTACGCTGGTTACAATAACGGATTTGCAATTTCAAAAAGAGAACAGAAAACAGTTGTTTATAACGAACAATACAGAACTGCCCTTAGAACAAAATAGCTGGCAACTTAAAAATGTGTTAAAGTGTTTTATGGAAGAAGGAGGTGTCAGCACCTGGCTTCCCCGTCTTTCAAGACACAAGCCTACGAGTATGCCTCGCACGCTGCACTACCACCGCTACCAACCCTGAAAGGCTGACAAGGAGTCAGGCTCGCTCTTCTTGTTTATTGAAGCCAATGACTGATAGAAGCAAAAAAAAGCAAAACCTAAAATCTAAACCTGCCAGAAACGTTGCCACTCTACCCAAGTGAGTGGTCAAGAGTTTACCAAGGTGACATCCTGTAAGGAGCAGGAACACAAAACAGCAGCAAATAACCCTAACAAGTGTTTTGTCAGAATGAAAAGTTACTCGGTATCAATGAAACCAGACCTCACCACTGAATCCCTTCATCTCTTATCTCTGCAGGAATAGTCAAATTTTTTAGGGCTTGTCCTTTCGTGTGCATGTGTGGGTAGGGGGTGTATGTGTCTTATCTACACAGAGGTGGTCCTATTTTTTTTTTATGGCAGCGAGCATCTGGAAGGCATCCTGAGTTTACAGTGTAGCTTTGTAATAATGCAGGATGGAATAAGTCAGAACCCGGATTCTGCACTGACTGGTCACATCTCCCATCGTACGGCCAGTGCTCTTTCAAAACTTAGCACAGTAACACGCGACACCACTCCTCTCCATTCCTCAGACCACAGGCTTTACGGGACAAATTCAGTGATATGAGTATGCAATTAAAGACATGAGCTCCCTAGACAAAAATTCATTAATAAGTTATTATTTAGCTTTTGTAAAAAAAACTTTTTGGATGCTGATTAAGGGGAGGGGGCAGGGAGTAATTTTTTTTTTTTTTTGGTCGGTTAAGCTTTAAGTTATATAGGCAAAAATACTGAATTTGCCAGGTTGAATGGAAACTCAGTATTTCCATGTCACAAAGTGCTCACTTAACAAAACCTATTCCGAAAAGCCTGAAATACTGCACTGACTTGACATTCCAGACTATCACCAACATCCCACTGGATTTATCCACGCACAGACTGCACCAATCAGACCAGAGTATTTATAGCAAAAATATTTTTCCAAATTTTCCTCAGCTAGGATAAGGCACCTTCCAGAACAAGAACGACTGATTTCTCTAGCCACAGGGTACAGGACTTGTCATGTTAATTAACACAGGGCCACGTAAAACTTCTGGATCAAACCCCAAACACCCAACCCTTCAGTCGAAATTCTGGTTAAACAACAGCAAAAGAAACGGTAATTGTTATTTAAAAAAAAAAAAAATAAGCCATCATTCCAGTGCTCCCGATCTATATTTAAAATGCATGGGTTAAATTTAAAGTAACCTAAATAACCTTCTTCCCTGGATTGAGCTATCACCAAAAAAAAAAAAAAAATGCTGCAGAGAACCTCGATCTTTACTCCTCCCAAAAGGTGCATTAAGAAATTTCAAGTTTATTAGTATGTCCAGGAGAAAGTAACCTAGTAATTTTACTCTTTGAAATTGAAATATTCAGCTGTGTTGTACTTTCAAATGACGACAAGCAGATGGAAAGCCAACAAGCCGCTGCAACATTGTCGAGACGTTACTCACTTGCAAATAAGTCTGTATCGTCTAGGCAGCATTGTTATAGTAAGTCTTATTTGAACCTACCACGGCAATCACCGTTTTGGAAGCAAGAATATCCAAACACAGTATCGGGGTGGGGCGGGGGGGGTCATCATTATTTCTTTCCTTTCTTTCTCCCTTGCATCTCGCATCTCATCCAGAACCAGGCAAACCATTGGAGAAAAGAAATTGCTTACATACAGGTAAACATACACAGTTTAAAAGAAAAGAGTTTTAGAAAGGAAAGGAAGGAGAGCAGAACATTTCCCAGCTTCAAGATGGAGAGAAATTGTAATTTTTAAGGTGTGACACTGTCCTACAGCACTTAGCATAAGCAGGCGACTGAACAGTCTGGGATAACTTCGTTATCATTACGCTTCATGTTCTCTGGGAAGATCTTCCTGATCCTAATCCACATCATCTCAAAAATTTAATATGAAAGAATCATCACTTGGAAGAACCATAAATACTAAACTTCTTTAAATAGGTCCATTCATAGCATATTTTTTGAACTGAAAACTGCTTTGATGTATATTAACCGGACAGTGTTTGCTAACAGCAAGAAGCCTGGAACAAGCAATTGCTGTGTTATCCTTGAACTATTTTTCAAAACAGCACACCGAGAACGGCAAAAACATCTGAGCCTTCTCTACCTAAGCGACTAGATCCTCAGTAAAGTAGTACGGTCACACATTCACAGGAAGAATTATAGAGATATTATGGAAAAAAAAAACCAAACTATATGCAGTATTACTACAAGCCGATAGTCTACCATCCAAATTAAGCCCCAAAACAGGAAGCACAGACAATATCAGTCATCTTGTAACATCTTTTTTGTTTCAGCTTTGCACTAATTAATCAAATAATTTGTCCTTGCTGTTGCTCTTACATGGACTGGCAGATCTCTGTGGAAATGGAGCCCTGTGTAACTAAAGCAATTGATTATTGCTTAGGAATTCTTAGGAACTAAAGCAATTTATTATTTCTTCTGCAATTTTGTGCGTTCCACAAATACAAATAGAAACCGCAGATGACAGATTTGTCATTTGATTTTTTTAGAAAATAACACATGAGCAAGCTCTTTTATAAAGTATCCCGTTTCAGAAGTAACTCAGTATTGGTTTCTAGATGAATTTCAGCAGATAATTGACTCCATGTTGTGCCCTTCCTTACCTTGCATTTGCTGGGAAGAGTTCACAGTGAATATATAAGATCTCTCTGGCACAACCAATCCCATCACCAACATAAACAAAATTAAAAACCACAAAATTCAATATTTCTGTACTCATTCTGCAAAAAAAGAAGGAATTTCTCTTAACTGGTGTTCTCCTTCCTTAAAAAAATGACCATTTCATCCTCTACTTATTTCTGTAAGATCTAGATAAGCAAGAAAAAGTTAGGATAATAGGTAGTAAAAGAGCAGCTCACTAAAATGGTCCTAAACTTCCATTTTACTGTAACAGTAGCTGCTTCAACATAGCCTTCATTTCAATGAAAAAGCTATCAATCATCAGTTTGAAGTACTACACACGTGGTGATTGTTTGTTTAGAAGAATATAAAAGTGGCTTAGCCACAACATAAAAACTCCCAGCCACTCCCAAAACACGGTAGCAAGAGAGTTTAGCCTAAAGTCTTGCATGTTCTTTGTATTACTGCTTTAACTCTTTTTGCCAGCACCAGAAAATTGATGTTGTTAACGGGAACCAAGTTTTTGCTTGGTTGCATTCTACAAGGCCAACTAAAAAGAACACATTAAATTAACAAAATAATTAATCTCTGTTTCTGAGCGCACTACAGCTCGTGTTACCAAAAGGCTGTGGAAAACCATTTAAACATAACTAGCTCACACGGGTATGTGGAGGAGTACGTACAGCGCAAGACATCAGCAGTGTTACGAGGAGAGTTCATTAGTCAACCCTTGAACACAAATCTGTTTGAGACACACACTGAGTTACAGATAAAGAAAATCAGAAAAATCTGTGGGTTTTTTTTTTGTTTATTGAAATATGAGCAGCAGTATGCAAAAAATATCTTTAAAAACATAACATAGCAAAACCTAATAATTTTAAAATTAACAAAATAAAAGGATGTTCAGAGTTAAATGAAAAAACTCATTGCTAGAGCTGTGTTTCCTACAATGTAAACAAAAGCATAAAGGTTATGCTTGCAACAAACACAGAAGCAGGTTTATGGAGCAGCACAATAAAGCAAAATTATGTTGTAATCTGATGGCTTGGTCTATTGGTTTGAATTCAGAATGGGTTTCCTTCCTAGAGAAACTTCACAACTATAAGAAAACGTTAGTCACTACTGTCTTTTGAAGCAAAACATTTATTTATTTATTTTTAAAAGACTGTTACTAGCAACACTTTGGGCAGCTAAAACAGTATCCTGAAAAAAACAATTATTTCAAGCTAGGGAAAATCATGACACGTTTTAATGTTTCTCTAGACCTGCCCAAGAGTAGACAACTTTTAGACTGTAATACTGTGGAAAAAAGATTTCAGCTTCAGGTAAAAAATAAAAGATCACCAATATTTTAAAAAAATTCTATACTCATCACAACCCGTAGGCTGTTCCATTGTTATTTTGACTACTGGGCTGTTTTGTTAGACTTCTCTCAGCTGTCCGTCATACTAGAAAGTTTTATTTTGGTCCTATAGATACTATAACCCAATGTCATCCCTTCATGTACAACTACTTCATGCCTAAAACAATTAAATGAACGTAATACGCAAGGTGCTGGATTGACTGCCAGCAAGACTGAAGTCCTCTGAAGAGGAAAATCCAAGCTACTACCATGTCTTAGTGACTATAAAGCAAGCCCAGAAAGAACTTCAGTACATGCCTATTCTAGGCTCTTTGCTGGTATTGCCAAAGCTGTTAATTAGTGCCGTGGTTGGTGCAAAATAGAAAAATGCCCAAACGGAAGAATATATTTACACTACAAAAGGCAAAATAGCTTTCATTGAAGAGTAACATTCAGTCTAAGCTGGACTATACTGGAAAGGCTCCATCTTCCATTAACAAAACTACTGGCTGACCCAGTTTCTCCATCCTTCCATCTAGATCAAGAAGTGACTTAAGCACAAGTATACTGTAACAGAAGCAGCAATCTCTCTTATCACTATATTTAAAGCATAATTAGTGTCAAAGTTCTCATCCAACCCATCTGCGCACTGATATCTGAATTTATCAGCAGCACGGATAAACTAAACATGATTAGGAACACCATGAACCAGCAGCACACAAAATTTGCTAACTAGAAAGCTCTCAAAAAGTTCTACTTAAAGAAACAGAAAAGCAGCACGTGGACAAATCTTACTGGGACTGCCCCTGCAAATCTGCCCTGGCAAAATTAGCAGTCACAAGGATATCCCCAGCACTGCATACGTTACAGTTCAAAAATATGTACACAAGCAGAGAAATGCCAGTCAGAGTACTTTAGTACTTAATGACAGCATCAGAAGTGGGTTAACTGGATAGCGTTGCAGAAATTATGGTTCAGTGCATGGGTAGCCAACCTAACCACAATACTAGTGCTAAGCACCAGCTCTGGCTCATGAATACCCACTTCAGCACCCATTCTTGAATCAGTTGGCCACATCTGAACATACAGAGATGAAGCCAGATGAAATATATTTTGGATGAAGTAAAACCTTGTACCTACAACTGGGATCTCTCCTTAATTCAATGTGCCATGACATTTATAATAAAAGCTAATCAAGAAAAAAAATGCTGTAGTGTCAAATACATATATATTCAGCAACTCGACAAAGGTCAGGCCTGGGGAGAGGAAAACGGAAGCCTGATCCTGTGGGCAGCTGACTTTGCATCTCATTCAATCAACAGAACCATTTGTGGATTGTACTTCCAAAGAATGAAAGAGAAGACCCCAAAAGTGAGTGGCATATGATATTATTCCCCTTTTCCTGAAGATGTACTTTGTTTTTAAACACACTGGAGAAACTGCTTTTAAAAAGTGATATATTAATTCCTGTATGAGAGAGCATTAGGGTTCTGAAAAAGTGTTAACAGTTCATCTTTATTCCATTAAGGCATTTCATAAGAAACATTTTATTGACACGTAAACAATTTTATTCCTTTAAGATGATTTGTTACTTAGGTACCATATGATGCACGATTTCCACATTTGAGTAGAAACTCTGTCATTCAACAGGAGACACAAGAACTTGTGTAAGCAAACGATGTCTCAGGATTGCAGTAGTTAACTGCAACGTATCTTTTAATAAGTATTTGCATTTTAGAGTTTTCAGTCTCTCCTCCCCCAAACACTGAGCCCTTTCTGAAAAGGTGTTTGGGAAAAAGAAATACGACAATAAGGAGTTAAAAAAAAAATACAACAGGGCTTTTTCTGCATGCAAAGAAATCTTGTACATAATTCACTTTGAATTCTCTTAGAACATTTCTTTCAGCCTCCTTTTTTTTATTTCAAGGGGAAAACTATGCATATGTTATTTAGCTCGTTTCTTTTAGTGTTTTGTACAGTGTTTAAATCCTCTACTGTGTAGTACAACAGCACAGGTAATAGGATTCTTTATATGTGAGAGAGTAATTTCATCACCATATTAATGCAGTCAGTCCTTCAATTCCCTAAAGCTGCCAATTACAGTTATGAGTCTTCTGATTGAACCCCTGCCAATAGGGACAGGATCGAGACCACTGTTTCACGTAGACTACAAAAAAGTGATTACTTTTGGTCATCACCAACACCTCTGTATTAAATTACACCATCTATAAGTAAAAGCTTCTGCATTCAGTTACTAATTTGCTAAGCCACTCAGTCTTGAAAGAGACTCAAACTCATACTGAAAGTGAATTAAATACAGTGTAATCACTAATACTGCATAATGTCTACTGAGAGATCAAAAGGCTTAACACAGATCAATTCCAGACAGGTAAAACAAACAGCTAGAACACCAAAAAAAAAAAAAAACTTATTCCATCCAAAAAGTAGTAAGAACTGTCATTTACAAACAGTAGTGTTTTTGTTAAAATAGAGAAGGGTACCTAAAAAGAAAAAGGCCTTGGCAACCACATCCAAATGGCATGAGTGTAAATCAAAGCAAAATAAGAATTACTACTCCAGAAACGTGCCAGATGTTTACCTTGTATCAATTACTACTTAAAATGGTGGTTAAAAGCAGTATTACAAAACTGAAGTGGGAAAAGGCTAAGATTTGCTGTTCTGCATTAATATACAGTGTGTTTATGACAGCATTTTCCAATAGACAATACAAGTGTTTTTACACCACTCCAATATTTGTAAAAAGTATATTTTATGTGTACACTTAAAAAAAATCACATTGTTCAATCTGAGGCAAATTCACTTTAATAAGTCTAATTTTGCTTATGACAGATGTCAATTTTAAGATGTTAAGCAACTACCCTAAAAATACAGTTTGCTAGCTGGAGCTGCACGTGTTCAGTTTTAAAAACGTTAAAAAAAACCCAAACTATGATATGTATTTATTTTCTGAAATCAGTCTTCATAATTCCTGTCCCTACCATTCAAAAAGAAAAAAAAAATTTCCAGTTAAGACATATGCCTGTTTAAGTTCTACTTGAGGGAGGGGAAAAGTGTTCTGAATTTTTCAATAGACTTTTTTCCCTTAGGGCTCAACTGTCACTTAAGCATCACAAGAACAGACTGAAATGTAAAATCGATCAGCTATACACAATGGAATTGGTCACAAAGGGATTAAAAAAAAAAGTTAAACTGTAAGATCCATTCTCCATATAGCTCACAGTATCCACACTGGAAGTTTCTCTAAAATTAGAATAAGTTCACTAAAAATAAGGTTGAAGATAGTATCTCAGCACTATGAAACAGACGAGATGGGGTTAAGAGGAGAACCCATTTGCGTAAGTACTTTATCCAGCCACTGCAGAGGCCCATGAAGATGAATTTCTATCCAGCATGGGGTGCTCGTGACATCTTGTCGGTGATATTCAGCTCCCCAGCCCTATAAAAACGAACAAAACATTACCAATTAGGATGAGAATATACTTGTGTTTTGAAATAACCGTACTAACAAGGAGTACAAAGTCATGTTCTAAGATATTCATCTAAAGGTAATTCATGATCAAGTTTTTATTGAAGGAAAAAAAAAAAAAGTTGGGAAGGAGGGATGGTGAAGGCTGCGCTCAGCAGCCGAAATCAAGTCCTCCCTGCTATGGCTTTGGAATGACTATCCATGCTCCCCCTTGAAACAGACTGCTGCCTCAGGAACGACTCCTGGCTAAGGCTACACCTATCGTTCACTTCTCGTCCTTGCTTCCTATCCTCCACATCCTAAACAAATTGACTAGTATTTCTTTTATCATAACTGACAACACAAACAATTTTAAGCTCCTCAGAGAAGTGTCTTATCCTATGTTTGGCTGGTATTTAACTAGATGAGGCTCAGCTGGATCTGTAGGCACCACCACAGCATATATCTAAAGGGGAAGGGTGAGGGGGTAGAAAACAGCAAACAATGCATGTAATACAGTGTATATAATCCAGCCGATTTGAAGGAGGAACATGGAGTCCTACCATCTTTTTTTAACTCAGGGCAAATGACAATTACAGTAGTTCTATGAGTACACAAATATCTTTCAGGGAAGATCTGCACACACATCCACTGGATTTTAACAAGTCTATTTCTGTGGAACAAAGTTTTCCTAATGCATTTTATTTTAACCTTAAATATATCATACTAAGATTTCTTTTTGAACAAGATACAAAGAAACCACGTGGCACAAGTCTACGCTCCGAGCTAAATCTGAAACGGACAGTTTTTTGATTGAACAATGATGTGGAAATATTACCATGAGAATAATAGCATAGTGACTTCACTAATTTAAACCATGTCACCAAAGTAACATAATAATGAAGTTTAAAAAAAAAAATTAGTTAATCTGTTTGAAGGAGTTGCACATTTTTCTGCAATTACCTATGCTCCTCTCTAGTCACATTCTTTTAGTGGTCTTGCAGTTCACTTTATTCTTGCCACTTAATTCAAATCTAGAGCATAAGCTCAAGTCTCCTTTAATAAGACTACAGTAGCTATAACGATTAAGTCCCTGTCCTGAATACTGAAGTAACAAAACACATAGCCACCTTTCAACACGGCCACTCTGTGCTTTTCCCTCCTTCCATCCATTTCTCTCTCCCCTCCCCAAATTAATCATTTTTCAACACATTTAAAATGAAAAGTAAGAATCATACCACCTCAAAATAGCTTTGCTACACTGCTAATGTAATTATTGTTGAGTACCTCAAAGTCCACAGTAAGTTTAAAAAGTTTAAATGCTCTAAAACAATTTGTTTACCTTTACAAAACTCATTCGAATGGTGCACATTTTGGTGAGCTCATATACTGCTTCAAATCCATGGTTGACAGACTGAGCTAACAGCTGAGCAAACTCCTGATTGTTAAAAATTTTTAGACTGCAGCCACTAGGAATCTTGCATACAGTTGTCGGATGAAAGCCATGGTGGTAGTTGCAGTTCCTGCTTTGTACAAATATGCTGCTGTCACTTAAACACTCAGCATAGACTTCCCCACCAACATAGTAGAGATGAACTCCTTAAAAACAAAGTTAGATAAAAGTGGTTTCAAGTTACTTTTTCCAAAAATTTAGCACTTACACAACCCCCTTGAACTCGGAGAACAACAAAGCAGACTTTTCATTTGAAGAGCTTTTCAGAAAAACTTCTTTTGCGCCCTAAGTCTTATGCTCGCAGTACAACATACTTTCTCATTTCAAAATATGGTAGGCTTCATTATACATCAGCCGCTAGATGTCCTTCTCTCATCAATTACAGAATAGAATTAAAAACAAAAAAAAACCCCACCAAAACGAAACAGTGCCAACAATTATTTCAAGATAAAATGCACTGAATTTATCTAGGAAACTAACACTCCAGTTTTATAAACCAGCAGCCTCTGCTTATGGAAATTCAGATTGGAGTTTAAAAAAAAAAAAACAACCTTAGGAGACGACACAGTGATAGATGCAAATGGGAAAGTATATCTATAATCTGCTCAGATTTTTATCATATCTGATCAAAGGGAAAGAAAAGTCCAATTACCTGTACAATTTAAACACGATCAGGCTTCACAGACCTTAAGATCAAGAGATTCCTTAGATTTATCCGACTTGCCTGGATTCCCCTATGCAAATAAGTGATTCCCCTGTACGTTCTGAAGCTTGTAACAACTACGTCTTTCACATTCTACCAAATAAACAATAGACTAAAAATTAACACCTAAGAGCAACTAAAACCAGATTTCACTGCCACTTTGAGATTCCTGCCTTCCTTCTCCCCAGTCTTCCTCCTTTCCCCCAACCGTCACTGTTAAATGGGTTGGGATGCAGTTCAGTTTGGTAAATCTTCCTTGAAATAATCTGAGAAACCATTACAGACTATCCTGTGGTTTGCCAGGTGAGGCTGTAGCAAGTCAACAAACGCAAGTTAATCTTTCAGACAGCAACAACTGCTGTGCACGCTGCTGAATCCACTTGGGACTACGGAAGGATGAAGTTTACCCAGAGGAATCATTGGCAACCGTCAGAAAATTGTGCGTGGGCAAGAACACATTTCCACCATAAAATCTTATTTATTTAAAAGAACAGGGACTACTAGTTGCTAGCTGAATTCTTTTGCATAAAGACCTAGTGAGAGATCTTTGAAGAAGGAAGATGGATAATTTAACAGGCTGAAAAGAACAAGAACAAGATACTTCAAAAAATAATCCACTGATTACAAATCACTTATGCTTGCAACGCAATACTTCTACAGAAAAAAAAAAAAGTTTAGCAAATACAACTAGGTAGTTTTAAAGGAGGCAAAACCCAAGACTAAGTAAAAGCCATAAACGAGTAATACTTTATCCAAAAACTGCCTTAAATGTTCTCAGAACCGTTGCCATAAAGCAAATTTTTAGTTTAATGCCAAGTATTAAAGATGTAGACATTTTAAAGCTGAAGATATAGTTGCAGTCACTACCATCTACTCTACAAAATGATCTTGGATCCTTGTTACATTTCTGATCTTAGACAGACGCATAAGATACCCTTTTTGATGGCACCAGCAGAGGTAAAAGGGGTACTCCGAAACAAGACGACCCTCATGCTCCCTCCTCTCCTCCTCCCCAAATCAGCTGTTCTCTTTTTGTTACATTAACTTTTCTCTGATGATAGAGATGGAGAGCCATGTTTCTAACAGACACTAAGATATCTATGATTTCCAAATTCACTGCAAAATTTTGCCATGTTTATAGTAGCTTCTAATTATTAATTAAAAGATTGATAAGGGACAGGATGGGTCTTGTGATGTACTAAAAGCTGAGAGTGGCTTGCAGCAAAAAACTCAAGACCAACGGCACTAAATTATTTCATGTGCTAAAAAGACCTCAGGACAAGTGCAACAGAAAAGGGGTTTTCTTCTCAAGACTTGATTAGTTAATTGCAAAAAAGGATATTTTCAGAAAAAGAATACTACATTTTAAGATAATCCAAGCACTTTCCATCAGCATAGATGAAAACCATGCATCTGTATGTGCTATCTGCCAAACACTACGGGAAAACTAGTAGATCTTGCTAAACCTGCTGTCCTCAAGAATCCCTCCCACACATATACACACCCCATGGATTCACCCAGACAAATGAGCCCTCGCAGTTTTGCATTAGCACTTCAAAGTCCTGCTCCAACTCATGCAAGATATTTGAATATGCTAGAGACAGCAGTGTAATATCCTGCACAAACCAAAAAACAACAAAAAAACCTTGGATATACTGTAAAGTAGTTATGAAGAATTTACTCTAAGAAGCAGCTCTAACATGTAACTTCCGAAGTCCTGCAATAACTTTCTTAGTGCTGAAACAGAAAGTTCTACACACAGACTATCATTAACCATAACAAACAAGCCCATATGACAATACAACTCAGTAAGGAAAAGGTAATATTTAATCTTCTAAATTAGTGCCAAGCAAAAACATATGCAATTAGCGTGTTAAACCATGCCTATGTGAGTTGTCTTTGGATACCGGAAAGGTAGGCAATATAACGCAGATTACTTCAATTTCTGTACTGTGCAACAATGTAGTCACTATGCTCACAAAAATCCTTGGTTTCACTCCTACTGCCCTTAACTTCTTAATAATGCATAACACAATTAAGTTTTACCTTTTCCGATATGTCGTCTAGTGTTCTCAATTGTTGAGTTGCGATTAACGTTTGAGAGCAAACCTAAGCAGAACCTGTTTTTATTATTGGAGGGATCTGTAAACCCATCTACTAAGACACTTGTGGAAGATGCATGAAAAGCCTCCCCAACACGATTATTTAATTCGTAATACACAATTGAACACCAGTGTTTGGGTTCTTCATAGGCAACAGGTTGAACATCTGAAAATAAGCAAAATGGAAATACCAGTTTATATGAATGTTAAAATATTAAATCCAGAACTGTAAAGCAAGCCCTACAAAATATCAATAAATATCTAATATTTAGTCAATACATGATGGGCAAGATCAATCCTTACTGATTAAGATCTTGACAATTTTAACTTTCATGCATTTCAACTATTCCATCAATGTTTACAATTATTTTCCTATTTTAAACATGATATTAAGTAAAAAAAACTACATAAACAAAAATTATATAGATGACTGTGATATTAAGTGAAATACGATTTTTCTGTCCCCTTTTAATAACAGATGTTTTGGGACTCAGTTTTCAGAGCCTTCCAGTCTATACATTTCCAATAGCATGCAAAAGGTAGCCGTAAAACACTCCATAATTCTGAGAAATGAAAAAAAAGTTCAACTTGTCATAAGCAATACTATGTAATACTTTAAAAGCTGAGATAACCAGAAATCAAACAAATGAGCAGCACAAGTTCTGTTTCTCAGTTCTTCTTTTTTGGTTTGCTTCCAGTTTGTCTTGGATTGCGTCCACTTATCAGCACAGGTTTATTGCACCATTTGAAATTATTCAATCAACTGGCCATTAGTATTAAGAACCCAAATGAAGTTAATTTTACACTGTACTTTATAACTTACCTCTGGTAGATATATTTGGCATGATTTGAGGGATCATGGTATTGCTTGTGTCCATAGACTGAGAATTATCCTGCCCCATCTGATCATCAGGGGGCATATACGCAGGAGGTGGAGTATCAGCTACAAACAAGAAAAAATAAAACTGAATAAACCCAAACAACTTTGGGTTGCCAAACAAATAACGCTCTTTTGCGAGAAACATTAAATACTGGGATTCACTTTCAAAGCAGTCTGAAGACGACCCAGACAATGCTCTTTACAGTTGTCTCCATCAACAGCTGTATTCTCACCTACAGGAACTCAGTAACAAGATTACATACATGAGAAAATCTGAGATAGGGTTTTTTTTAAACTGCACTTCTGCAACTGGGCAGGGTGACTGCAGTTCCCATTTCTGTAATACAAACATTAGCTCTCTTGTCCACTCTTTTCTCCTTCTTTTCTCCATGTTCCAAAAGAAAGAAAGGAGGAGGGAACAATGCTAGCCCTCTTTCACATAGGACAATGAAGGTCTAAACCAGATGACTTTTTTTTTTTTTTTTTGCTGCTTCTGTAGGCTGAGTTCATTACACAAGTGTGGATGTCTCTATTCTTCCATTCTATAGAGCAGTATGTGTATCAACACCCTGCTGTTCCCCATTTCAGAAACCCCGTGCAGATGCCATGAATACATTCTTCTTACTGGCTTCTCACTGGCTTCTTCCCTTTGACTCTTTCAGTTTGGGGTTTTTTTTCCTTCTATTTTCACCCAAATCATTTACGATTCTTCTACTGAAAATTCACACCCGATTTTTCCAGTTAAATATCACTTTTCAGTATTTTGCTTCAGAGACACAGATACATTTCTTGATCAGTCAGTTACATCTGCCTTCTTTTCATTGCTAGGTGTTATTTTAAAGTATTCACCAATGACTGCACATTGAAGCTGTGCAGAATAACTCACTTGTACAGTATCTGTGAGGAAAAGCGTTTGGAAAAACAAAACTAGCAGAAGAGGGAACTCCAACCAGTAACAAAGAAAAAACCCTAAAATACAAACGGCAAAATAATTTATTGTTAAGTATCACAAATTCATAAAGAAGTCGCAATAGATTTTAGCATTACAGTAAATTATTTCAATTATTTTTAGCAAGCCCATGTTTAGGCTATACTTACCTGGTAGCTGAAATGGACTAGATGGTCCGGAACTAGCTGGGGAACTTGGATAAGTGCTGCTGGCTGGAGAAGGTGGATAGGGACTGTTTGGCGAAATGGAAAACGGAGTGTTGTTGGGTTGTTGAAAAGAATCTGGAAATGTCGCATTATGTGGCATATGTGGTTCATTGTGGCTTAGGTTCCTGAACTGAACAAGTAGGCTGTGCTGTGGATTGAATTCACTATGTCTAGGCACTAACACTGGAGGTAGAACTAAAACAAAATAAAAAAACAAAAACAAAAAAACAAAAGTTTAGATTAAAAATAGAGATAGAAGGAACAGGATACAAACGTGTTATTTCTGCTCACCATGATAATTTCAACACCAATTGGGGTGGCAAGAGGAAGGAAAAGAGCAGAGGATCCAACTGCCTTCCCTCTGCCCCTTTTTTTCGTCTTTCATTCTTTTAAATTATACTTCATGGAAAACGGAAACATTACTCTTGCAAGAAAGAGCAGAAGTAAACTCATATTTCACATAACTGGAAGCATAAAAATCAGTGTATACTATCAAATCAATGCAAAAGGAAAGCCAGAGTCAGTATTACCGTAAGTAATAGTCCAGCTAGATCGGTACATAGTATTTTACATCGAAGACATACAAAATCTATATGACAAATAAACAGCTATTGCCAAAATGGAGTTTTAATTTTTAAATTCAAGTATTCTAAAGTAGGGAATTCAAGTAGAGCACATCCTACTGCGTGGAACAAAGGCAGCAACTTTTCACTATACTTTCCAGAGTAACATAATTCTTCTCTCCCACTCATAACCATGATCCTCCTCACCTTCTCCCATGGCAACGTGCCTTAACAGCAGACTCATTACCAAACACATTTTGGTACGCAATTTGCTCTAACTGATCGCTCTTAGTTCCACTCAACTCTGCTGGCCTGATAATGGGAAGTCAAGCAGGGAGCTTTCTTCCTTGTTTTGTATCACTAACTGATGAAGTATTAAGTCCCTGAAAGAACGCTACCAACCTCCTCACAAGGACTGAGCTTCACAAACAAGTTTCCCAAAGAATCTGAAGTCTTCTGACTATTTCTTTCCTATTTTACTCTAAATTAGAATTTTGCCACTAACTTTATGGGAAGCACGCCTAAGAGATCTGGTGAAAAAAATACGTTTTACCACAAAGAAATAGCTGTGTGCAGAAGGTATGACCTTCCCCCTAACCCCACAAGAAAACTACACTTCGAACATTACTCTTCCAAACGCCCTCATACACTGAATTTAATTCACTAGGTAGTACTGGAGAAGGAAGAAGTCAAGAGGAGGTCGTTTCTGGAGATTTTGTTCAGCATTCAGACAGTCATATTCAAACATACCTGGGCTTTCCACCCTCTTATAGTGGTATGGATTGATGCAGACTTCCTTCTGTTTAGATCCAAAAGGAAATTCACAAATATCCAATGGCTTCAGCTCATGATGGCTTTGTAGATCAGGCCAACGCCAAACACGACAGTAAATAACATGGGGAAGGCCTTTTCTATGAGAAACTTGAAGTCGCCCATCTAAAGAACGGGGGATAGTAACACACTTGCTGGGCTGTCCTGGACTGCTCAAGGCTTTCTCCAATTCTTCCATAGCACCCTTTTTCTTTTTCAGCTTTTTTACCAAAGCGTCAACAGCTTTTTCTGCCCATTTTTCCTCTTCATCTCCTTGCTTCCAGCCCAACAAACGCTTCACAGCTGGGCTAGTAAAGGAGAACAAACTGGCCATTGACGTCATTTGACACAAGTCTTCAAAAGGTTTGTTCAGTGTTTTGTTTTTTTTTTTTTTTGCAAATAAACGTCAGTGTATAAAAAAGCACTTATTGCAAGTGATGAGCTGTTATTATTTCTTGGAGGCTAACAACTGAACATATAGATGCCAGTGATGAAGTCTTCACATCAATAACGATTCTTCCAATTTAGTTCTGTTAAAAAAAGGAAAAGGATGAATTAACAAGTGATTAGTAAATAAGAAAAAGGTACAACAAAGTCCGATGTGAACAGAATGACTGTTTCAAACCTTGCCATTATGCCTAATTTTGTTTAGAAACAAACAAACAAAAAAATCTAGAAACTCTTAGAACCTCTCCCCCAAGCTGGATGAATATAAAACAGAGTCCCCAGTTATCTCATTATTGATTAGTGGAAAAAGGAGAGTGAAGGGACCAAAGGAACAGCCCTGTTCTGTTAACAGAGTTTTCCGACAATTCTGTAAAACCATGAATCTCCTAACAAAATGATCAACTGAGATTGGAATTAACAAACAGTTCTGAAGACTGGATTTTCAAATATGCTTTAAAATTGTCTAGTAAAACTCAGATATTAGGCAAATAATTATTCACCGGAAGATTTAAACGTGCTGTTAAGAAATAAAGAGGTAAGGTGGAACCAACAGTTCCACAGCCAATAAGCCAGAGAAATATTCAGCTTCTCAAATCCATCCTTATTTCTCAAAAGGAGAGCACACTAAAGCATCTACATGTCTTTGAGTATAAAAAGATGAGGAAGAAACTGTAGATAGTGAAATAAGAAGTCCCCAAAAAACCAACCCGCCAAAACAACCTCCCTTCAGCCATTCAGAGAGGGGGGTCAATCTTTTCAGCTACCACTATTTTTATGCTGAACTTCCTTGTATCTTCTAGGAGGATTATCTGAAGCACTGGATATTTTTAGCCTTTGGCAAAAAAATTGTTTTCCTCTCCTCAGAAAAGAAGGGGGCGGGGGGAAGGCATAGCAGAGTAAGTACTAGAAGTGAGACCTTTACTACAAACTGCGTTAGAAAGGAGAGAACGAACAAAACAATGCTGTGCAACTCAACAGTGCTCATGAATGGTTTTTTTTTTTTTTTTTTAAAACCACTCACCAGTTCTAATGCAAATCTGTTGGGTTTTTTTTCCCCCTCAAATTAAGAACTAACGATGACAAGAGGAAATGATGTGCTGTGGCAACAAACTGATAAGAACTTATAAAATCCCTTGTGAATACTAAATAAGCAAGTATAGACAATGAGCAGCTGGCAAAAAGCAAGAGCAGAGCTAAGAGAAAGGATGTCCACAACAAAAGATGCTTCCTTTCTTGCTACAGAGACTGCCAAACAACATTGTCTCTCAACTTTTGATAAACGGCGGTGAATTAGAACACCTAACATGCCCTAGGACACTAAATGTGCACATAAGAGAAAAAAAAAGAAATGAAGACTTAAGTCCCCCTGTGCTGGTTCTCTCACGTCACTACCTTTAATCAAGGGGATCTTTTTAACTCTCACCTTTGATTAACATAAAAAAGGCTTTTACAAGCCTTTAGACACATTTAGAAAAACACACTTAGATACAGGGGTACTCTCCTATAATAACCAATTTAACAACCAAAAAATAGCTTTCAGGAACCCGAGAGACTTAGTGCATTTCAGCACTCAACTCTCATAAATGCTTAAGCCTACACCAAGTCATATATGAAGCATCATCAGCCAAAGATGAGCAGCAAATATCCCTACTCGAAGCATTTATAATGCCCCATATGTAATCAATTTAGATTTTCTGCTGGGGGCAGGGGGGATGGTGAGGGAAGGAAGGAACAGACCCAAAGACACTCTGCTATGAAGAAAGCAGAAGTTGGGGAAAAAAAAAAAAAGGG